TCAGTGGACGTGTACACGGCATTGATTTTTGTAACAGGGAGATGGAAGAAGAGGCTTGGTCGGTCCTCCTCCTGCAAATTTGGGGCACTGCGCGGTCAAGCTAATGTGACACCAGATAGGAGTGGTGTGTTTAGTACTATTTTTATCAGTTTAATACCTTCCGCGTCTCCTATCAGTGGACATTTACACGGCAGTGATTTCTGTAACAGGGAGATGGAAGAAGATGCTTGGTTGGTCCTCTTACTGCAAATTTGGGGCACTGCGCGGTCAAGCTAATGTGACACCAGATAGGAGTGGTGTGTTTAGTACTATTCTTATCAGTTTAATACCTTCCGCGTCTCCTATCAGTGGGCGTGTACACGGCATTGATTTTTGTAACAGGGAGATGGAAGAAGAGGCTTGGTCGGTCCTCCTAACTGGAGACTGTGTTGCTGTACGGGTGGCAGGTGGAGCCATTTATAAAGTACCCACTGCTTTGCAGACCAGGTATCAGTGGTCAGATGGACCCTTGCCCCAACACTGTGTTCCAGACATGTCATTACTTACTTTTGCACAGTCGAGTACAGGTTGGGGATTGCCTTTTGCGCAAAGAAATTTTGGCCGGGTACCTTCTACTGCGGTGTCCCAATAGCTACAAATTTTTGGAACGCCTCAGACTCCACCAGATTGTATGGTAAATGCTGGCGGGCTAATAGTTCAGACAAGCCAGGTGTCAGACGCCGGGCAAGGGGGTGACTTTCTGACGCTTGCAGACAACTAACTGCTATTCAATCTATAACAGTGAAAAAAGTTTTGAAGCCACAGTGCAGCACCAGAGGGCCTAAAATTAGGCATGTACACATGCCTGAAAAATTCGGTATTGTTGCAGCCGCTGCTGTAGCAGCGGCCAGAAAAAATGATGTTTGTTTCACAGGCAGAAAGTGCCCTAAAACATGGCGGCTTGAACCCTAGTTGGTGGCGGATAAGTCACGCAAGTCAACCGGCATTCAGAGCTAAAATACAGCAGCGTGTGGACCATTTTAGCCCAAGGCAGCTCATCTCATCAGGCCTTTTTTACATAGGGTCACTTGGCAGATATGGATTGACACCTGTCCTAGGGATCCCTGATACACACTGACACAGAGCAGAATAGGGACTGTTCCTCCTACATCGGGTCACTTGGCAGATATGGATTGACACATGTCCTAATGATCCCTGATACACACTGACACAGAGCAGAATAGGGACTGTTCCTCCTACATCGGGTCACTTGGCAGATATGGATTGACACATGTCCTAAGGATCCCTGACACACACTGACACAGAGCAGAATAGGGACTGTTCCTCCTACATCGGGTCACTTGGCAGATATGGATTGACACATGTCCTCAGAGACCATGATACACACTGACATAGAGCAGAATAGAGACTGTTCCCCCTACATAGGGTCACTTGGCAGATATGGATTGACACCTGTCCTAAGGATCCCTGATACACACTGATACACACCTACTTGGATGGTATAGCCATTTTTAGCTGCTCCTGGCACGAACACCTGACCCACATGGGAGCCGTACTAGACCGGATTAGGGAGTCCGGACTGACCCTAAAGCCCAGTAAGTGCCTTATATGAACGTGTAAAAACCTCCCCAAGATAGTAGTATGGACCCCAGAGTGTGAACAGGCCTTCCAACAGCTCAAGACGGCGCTCATTAAATCACCTGTACTTTCTGCTCCTGATCCAACTAAACACTTTCTCGTCCATACAGACGCTTCTATGTTTGGATGGGGAGCAGTCCTGAGCCAAGTCGGAGCAGATGGTGGCGAGCAACCCGGGGCTTATCTAAGCCGTAAACTTTTGCCCAGGGAAGTAGATACACTGCCATTGAAAAGGAGTGCATGGCGGTGGTGTGGGCCCTCAAAAAGCTGCAACCTTACTTGTATGGACAACGGTTTACCTTACTCACAGATCACAACAAATTTGGGGCACTGCGCGTGCAATCTAATGTGCCACCAGATAGGAGTGGTGTGTTTAGTACTATTTTTATCAGTTTAATCCCTGTTACGTCCCCTATCCGTTGATGTGGAGCAAGACACAGCAGCAGAAGAGGACTCAGCCGAGGAGGTTATGGAAGAGGATGGAGTAGGAGGAGTAGAGGAGGTGGCAGCAGGCCTGCCTGCAAGTCATGCCGGTGTCACCAACTCCTCTGCAGAGCCACGCATCCCATGCTTGGCAGCCGTCAGCAGGTTTGCCCAATGCGCAGTGTAGGTGATATACCTGCCCTGACCATGCTTTACAGACCAGGTATCAGTGGTCAGATGGACCCTTGCCCCAACACTGTGTGCCAGACATGCCATTATTTCCTTTTGCACAATCGAGTACAGGTATGGGATTGCCTTTTGTGAAAATAAATTTCGTCCGTGTACCAGTGAGTGAGTGGTGGCACTGGGCACAGTATCCACTGTGAGCCTGACACACCTGCTGGCAGACAACTAACTGCTATTCAATCTATAATAGTGAAAAAAGTTGTTTTTTTAAATGCAAGCTATTATGACACCAGATATGAGTGGCACTGTAAACTGGCAGAGTACACGCTGTAGGGCTGACACACCTGCTTGAAGATAACTAACTGCTATTCAATCTATAACAGTGAAAAAAGTTTTTTGTTTTTAAATGCAAGCTATTGTGACACCAGTGAGTGGTGGCACTGGGCACCATATCCACTGTAAGCGTAACACACCCGCTTTAAGGACACTGACTGCTATTCAATCTATAACAGTGAAAAAAGTTTTTTGTTTTTAAATGCAAGCTATTGTGACACCAGTGGGTGGTGGCACTGGGCACCGTATCCACTGTTAGCGTAACACACCCGCTTTAAGGACACTGACTGCTATTCAATCTATAACAGTGAAAAAAGTTTTTTGTTTTTAAATGCAAGCTATTATGACACCAGTGAGTGGTGGCACTGGTCACCGTATCCACTGTTAGCGTAACTCACCCAGCTTTAAGGACACTGACTGCTATTCAATCTATAACAGTGAAAAAAGTTTTTTTTTTAAAATGCAAGCTATTGTGACACCAGTGAGTGGTGGCACTGGGCACCGTATCCACTGTTAGCGTAACACACCCGCTTTAAGGACACTGACTGCTATTCAATCTATAACAGTGAAATAAGTTTTTTGTTTTTAAATGCAAGCTATTATGACACCAGTGAGTGGTGGCACTGGGCACCATATCCACTGTTAGCGTAACACACCCGCTTTAAGGACACTGGCTGCTATTCAATCTATAACAGTGAAAAAAGTTTTTTGTTTTTAAATGCAAGCTATTGTGACACCAGTGAGTGAGTGGTGGCACTGGGCACAGTATCCCCTGTGAGCCTGACACACCCGCTTTAAGGACACTGACTGCTATTCAATCTATAACAGTGAAAAAAGTTTTTTGTTTTAAATCCAAGCTATTGTGACACCAGATATAAGTGGTAGCACTGACTGGGGAAATGGGCACAGTATGCACTGTGAGCCTGACACAGAAGCTGGCAGCAGTGGCAGACAACTAAGTGCAATTACATTACATAGAAAAAATAAATTAAAAAAAAGCATACCCTAACCCTAACCTTTTCCCTATCTAATCAACAGCAGCTACACTTTCCCTCCTCTCACTAAGCATGCAGCTTGAGAATGAATGTAAAATGGATGCCTTCCAGTAGGTGGGAGGGTGTGCTGCTAATTGGCTGGAATGTGTCTGCTGACTGTGAGGTACAGGGTCAAAGTTTACTCAATGATGACGAATAGGGGGCGGATCGAACCGCGCCTATGTTCGCCCGCCGTGGCGAACGCGAACATGCTATGTTCCCGGGAACCGTTCGCCGGCGAACCGTTCGGTACATCACTAGTCATGGAGGAATATATTAAAGAATCTCTACAAAAGGGGTCTCTAAGGGTCTCTTTGTGTCGAAGAAGGAGGGCGATTTAGGACCTTGTATCGATTATAGGGGTCTAAATAAAATCACCATAAAAAATGCTTACCCTATACCTTTAATCACAGAATTATTTGACAGGCTCAAACATGCTACTGTATTTACTAAACTGTACCTTAGAGGTGCATACAATCTAATACGTATAAAAAAGGACCATGAATGGAAAACTGCATTCAATACAAGGAGTGGTAATTACGAGTACACTGTGATGCCATTTGGTCTTTGTAACGCCCCAGAAGTGTTTCAAGAATGTATTAATGACGTCTTACGAGAGTTCATTCACACATTTGTAATAGTGTACTTGGACGACATATTAATATATTCAACAGATTTGCATACTCATCACATGCATGTTAAAACAGTTTTGAAAACCCTTCTTGTTAATGGTCTTTATTGTAAACTAGAAAAATGTTTATTTGATCAATCCGAAGTCCAGTTTTTGGGGTATTTAATTTCTGTTAAGGGTTTTCGTATGGATCCCCAGAAGCTTTCTGCTGTCATAGAATGGCCTCTACCTCAAGGTCTGAAAGCTATTCAGCGTTTTCTTGGTTTTTCTAACTATTATAGACGCTTTATTAAAGGTTTTCTTCTATTGTAGCGCCTATAACCCGTATGACTAAAAAGGATGGTAATACTCATGTCTGGTCCCCAGAGGCGCTTGAGGCTTTTGAATTTCTTAAGACTGCATTCGCCTCTGCTCCTATTTTACAGCATCTGTCCCTTCTTTGCCTTATATTCTTGAAGTTGATGCTTCTGATATTGGGGTGGGTGCTGTCTTATCTCAAAGAGAATCACCTAAAAAGCTATTACATCCTTGTGGCTTCTTTTCCAAGCAGATGTCCAAAGCCGAAAAGAATTATGACATAGGCAATCGAGAACTCCTTGCTATTGTTTTAACACTTAAGGAGTGGAGACAACTTTAAGAGGGTACTAAGGATCCCATCCTCATTTTTACGGATCACAAAAACCTTTCCTACCTTAGTGAAGCCAAAAGATTGTCTTCTAGGCAGGCCAGGAGGTCACTGTTTTTATCTCATTTCAATTATATCATCACCTACAGACCAGGTGATCGTAACACTAAAGCCGACGCTCTGTCCAGACAATTCGAAACTACCGACAAACAAGAGTTTGATGATACCCCTGTCATTCCCCCGGACAGAATAATAGCTACTACAGTTCTATCTATTTCTTCTTCACTCTTGCAAGTTATACAGGCTAAACAAAACATGGCACCCAGAGAGAGACCTGCTGATAAACTGTTCGTTGATGTTCCCGAAAGACGGGACATTATGTCGTTATATCATGGGTGGGCTTCCTTACGCAAGGATTTCACCGATTACGTTCAGACATGTACTACTGCCAATATGAAGTCTTATAGAGTTTCTTGTGAGTTGTTGCACCCGTTGCCAATACCCGAGAGGCCTTGGTCCAATCTATCCATGGATTTTATTGTTGAATTGCCTTCTTCGAATGGTAAAACAGTCATCTTGATGATAGTGGATCGATTTTCTAAGATGGCTCATTTTGTGTCTCTTGTCAAATTTCCCTCATCCAAGGAACTTGCTTCTATCTTCGCCAGGGAGGTGTTTCAGTTGCATGGTATTCCTGTATCATTTGTATCCGATAGGGGTAGCCAATTTATTTCCAGATTCTGGAAAGCTTTTTGTTCAGAGATGGGTATTTATCTCTCGTTTTCCTCCGCTTACCACCCCCAGTCTAATGGAGCTGCTGAACATGCCAACCAATCCCGAGAGCAGTATCTTCGTTGTTTCATATCCCACCATCAGAACAATTGGTCTGACCTTCTTCCTTGGGCTGAGTTTGTTCGTAATAACGCTGCCCATGAATCTTCCGGTAAAAGCCCTTTCTATGTTGTTTATGGCCGGCATCCTGTTGTTCATCCAGCTGCATTCTCCTTACAGGGCATGCCAGTTCTGGATGAACATTTGGCTAGTTTACGTACTACTTGGGAGCAGGTTCAGCGTTCTTTGGTGGACTCCGCTGCTCGCCAAAAGGTTCAAGCTGAGAAGCATTGCAGGGCGGCTCCATCCTATGTCGTGGGGGATAGGGTTTGGCTTTCCACGCACAATATCCACCTTCGTGTGCCTCTATGAAGTTGGCTCCCCGTTTAATCGGTCCTTTTCGTATCTTGCATAAAGTTAATCCTGTTTCATATGCCTTGGATCTTCCTAGGAACCTACGTATTCCTAACGTCTTTCCTCCTTGTTAAAAAACCCTCCTATGTAACCATTATACCCGGCATGTTCCTCCTCCTCCTCCTGTTTCTGTGGAGGGTCATGAGGAATTCGAAGTAGCTGCTGAGCTTGACTCTCGTTTTCTCAGGGGTCGCCTCCAGTACCTGGTGCATTGGAAGGGTTATGGGCCCGAGGAACGCAGTTGGATTTCCACTGACGCTGTTCACACTCCTCGCCTTGTGCGAGGAGGTGCTCAGGGGACATTTAGAGCAGAAGGAGTCCATAAAATAACTTTGCATTTTTGAACTTCAAGAAAATGTCAGAATAGCAAAACATCAAAGTCTGTAATTCTTGGATGTAAGTCTTCATCATGATATGTTAACTCCATATACTTTGCTAAAATACATTTTTTTTTCCCACAAATACCACTGTTCATTTTACATAAATGGTTAATATCAATAATCTATGATACATTCATTAGATACTCATCACTCATCAGACACTTTGAAGCCTACAGTACCAAGCACAGTAGCTGCAGGAATCAGGAGACACAGTTTTGGAAATACAGTATAGTGTGAAATGTCAAATGATCTTAGACTCATTTCAAAAAAGAGTTTGTAAGCATAAAAACATTATTTTATTAAATTGTAAAGACATTTTAACCATCACAGTAATCTGACTTCCTATTAGATTCATGTATGCATGAGTCACAATGGTGTAGAATCTAAATCTAGAATCACCTCAAGAACCATCTAAAAGTCTAGAACCACCTCAAGACCTGTGAGTTATTTAATATTATTACATGGAAATTGGTGTTTGGTAGCGAAGGGTATAAGCACACATATTGATCTGTTGTATAATGGTAATGATATAAATCTAACATTTACTCCATTTAGGCTATTAAACAAACACTTTGAGTTCTCTATGTGTGCAGAGAATGTCTACTCTTTTTCATTTTATAAAAGTGCTAATTTCAATTGAAATTGACACTTTTATAAATAAGCTTTCTTACATCTGCCCAACTGTCAATCAATAAGCCAGAAACTATCCTTAAAATAAGATCAAAAGCAAGTAATATTAGTAATAATATAAATATAGCATGTTAATAATGATGCAAACACAATACTAATTTTGATAGCAAATGTCCATAAAATATAAAACTGTCCATAATTGCAAATCTGATTTTATAAATGGGATGTGTTATATCTGACAGCCACATTTTATTTAGCAAAATTGGTCACAGGAACCGCACTCACCCTAAGCGGCCACAGGTGCTCCGGAGCAGGACCAGCAATCCCAACAAGTTAAGGCAGCAAAAAAAGATTTCCAGGCACTCAAAGTGTGAAAGCCGCAGGCAGATTTATTGTAACAAAACAGACAGCAACGTTTCGACCTACCAAGACCTAGCTTGACAAGGTTGAAACGCTGCTGTCTGTTTTGTTACAATAAATCTGCCTGCGGCTTTCACACTTTGAGTTCCTGGAAATCTTTTTTTGCAGCCACATTTTATTAACACAAGATTAAAAAACATACGATTGCACAGTAATGCATCTCAAACAGTAAATGCAGCTCCTTACTCGGTTTGTTTCTCCCTGTTATGAGGACTGTTGGATCTCCAGTGGTATCAGTCTTCTCCAGGTTCTGTGATATGCTTGTTATCCAACTCTGAAGCCAGCTTAGTGTGTATTGCACAGAAATTTCACTCTGTAATTTGCAATCGACTGATACAATAAATTACCAGGCAAAAAAATGCCCAGCAACCAGCCTTCCACATTACATGGACTATCTGGTCCAATTCAATAGAAGCACATTAAAATCATTGATTTGTTAAAAGCCAGCATTGTTCGAGCCGTGTTGGAAACCCATTTCAGAATGTAAAAAATACATAGCACCAGAACAAAATACTGTATGCAGTCACATGAGAGGTGTTCCAATTTTTTTGTTTTATGCCTTGCTTTTTTTAAACTTACATTTTCTTTTCACACTCTGCCTGAGGGAATTTGTCATTTTCTTAATAATCTACAGTGGAACAATTACTCCATGCTAAATAGTGCAGGAATATCTTGCTCTGGATCTTTTTCTCGATGAGTTTTTCTAATTCAGGCATATCATTGCATCTGTAAAATAGCCACCAGTGCAAATTTCTGTAATGATATTATGTGCCATTAAACCCAATGAAGTGAAAAGGTAAGCAAAGCGGATGTAGATGTGTAGATTTCTATTACTGATACCAAATATCATTACAAAGAGAAAATGACTTGGTCACTTATGTAATTTTCTATTATAGTTGCTTGAAATTAGATGTTAAGCGATTAGCATCGGAGCTCCTTAGAGAGCTCATTGTCGCTCCATGACCTTTATTCAACATATCAGGATTCAGAGACACAATGTTCACTTTTCAACTTTTTTCATAACTATACATGATTCTTTAAAAGGGGAGTTTATTATTATTGTTTTATTAAGGCAGATCAGGAAGAATGCCAATCTTTTGATTTTGTAATAAGTTTTTACATCAAACATCTTGCCAGTTTAGAATTTCAGTACTTATATTTTTACAGTCCTAAGTGAATATAATTAAAATATAATAGACCATAGAGGTTCATAGTAAAGATATCACATATGTTGGAGATTGTTCATATTTCTAAAACACTCACCCTATCATTGGCATGGTTAGATTCTGAAAATCAAAGTTATTCCATTCTACAGCTTAATTTCTTTATAGTTAAATCCTTCTAAAGCAAATCAGATATAAATGGCAAAATCTGGAGAAAACCTTGGTAATCATAATAATAAGGGTAACTCTTAAATAGAAAAAATAGTCTTACCCTAATACTTTATCCACAGATATCTTGCTTCATCCACACAGACTTTCCATAATAAAAGAGAAAACTCATGCAATGTTGCTTGCAAACATTCATCTTGAGTAGATAAATGCCATCACTATTGTTGGTCATGTAGATTCTATTCCTTTTTATTTGCTATTAGAAGGCAAAAGGAATATCTCTGTATCTGTCCACCAAGAAACAAATTTAAATGGCTACTCTAAACTTGTCTATGAAATGTTCAATGTAATTTACAATATTCTACTGGGCATTATTCACTAGGTTCCCCCCACCCCTTTAGATCTGCAAATAAAGTTATAAACTTACCTGGAATACAGCGCTGGGTGAAGAACCACATGGTGTATTCCATACCTCATTGACAACACTGCTGTCCACTTGTGGTCGAATCAAATGTTTGTCATAGGGAAGAATTTGGTTGAATGGTTTCACTGGCTCAGAGCACGTGTTCACTCTGAGACTGTAAGGGAAGAGAATGGGGTGAACAAAGGGAATAATGTTATGGATATAGGGAAGCAGGGATGGCAAGGAGGGCTTAAATGAGAGAAGGGAGATAGGGTGGATACCCATTTCTTCTTGCAGGTCTGTCAGTTCACTTTTTGCATTGACAATAGATGTAACAATTGCACAGGTTTATTAGTCCTGTGCAATTCTTATATCTGGTATCAGCGATCAAAGTGATGTGTTAAGGCAGCCTAAAACAGAGCCCTCAGCACACAAGTACTTATTATTCAAATTATGTAGCATTTCCAGCTGAAACACTACACATACAGACTCCTACCACCATGATTACGTCTATACACAATAGGGGTACTAGAGGTTGGCGTGACCCTTTAACTGAGTCTTGAAGTCATAACAATTTAGTGTAAGAACTCTTCTAGATCTCCAAAGCTCCTTTCATCCCTCCCAATATAATTCCTCACCTGCCCCCAAAACCAATGTGCTTATTTGTGTTTACATTGTCCATGTGATTATTAGTGTTAATGTATGTGCACATTTGCATGCAGTGTATGAATATTTGAATTCAATGGAATTTTACTATAATGCAAGAATGTGAGAATTAACTTTTTCGTTAATGCAAAAGTTTGTGAATGGAGTGTATTTCTATAGCATGTCAATGAATGATAATGCCGTTGTGAATTTGAATGGAAGGCTTATGTGTTTATGCAGCTTAAGTGGCCTATGTGTTTGCCACCTGCAAATGTAAAATAGTAATTTTGGTGTGTGTGAATTAAGTTTAGTATTTTTGTGTAT